TAAAAGAGGTGGAATTGCTCTCTATATAAGAAACAACTACATCTCTACACAAATAGAGCACAACAATGATGAAAATTGTCTTGAATACATTTGGGCCAATATAAAAAGAGGGAAATGACATTGCCATAGATGTATACTATAGGCCACCCAACCAAACAGAGGAAATAGATGAACTTTTTCCTAGTCATTAGCTAAGGTATGTAGGAAGCACATCACAATAGTAATAGGGGACTTTAATTACCCTGACATCAATTGGGAGACAAACTCTGCACCAAGTGGAAGATCAAACAGATTCCTGACAAACCTAGCAGATAATTTTGTCTCCCAAAACGTAGAGAAGTGAACTAGGGGATCAGCCATATTGGACTTAATTCTCACTAACAGAGATGAAATGATAGAAGGTGTTGAAGCCATAGGAACTTTGGGGGGGGGGGAGTGATCATGCAATATTGGAATTCAGCATTATGCAAGCATAAGCAATAGAACACCGTCAAACTAGAGTCTTGGACTTTAAGAGAGGTAATTTCAATAAACTTAGAGCTTGGGAAGGATTCCTTGGATGAGAATCCTCAAGAGGACAACAACTCAAGAAGCTTGGGAAATTTTAAAAAGAGATTATAAAAGCCCAGTCTAGCACAATACCAACGAAGAAGAAAAATAATAGCTCTTAAAAGAAACCAGTATGGGTGCATAAAGAACTCTCTGATAAATTGAAAGACAAAAAGGACAAGTATAAAAAGTGGAAAGAGGGGCACATAACTAAGGCAGAATATCAGCAAATAGCCCGAGCTTGCAAAGATGAAGTGAGGAAAGCTAAGGCTCAAAATGAACAAAAGTAAAAAAAAAACAAAAAAAGCTGCTTTCAACAGGTAACAAAATAAGAAAAAAATCAAGGAAACAATTGGTTCATTAGTGGGAGATAGTGGCAAGCAAGTGACAAGCAACAGGAAGAAAGCAGAACTATTTAACTTGTTTTTTGCATCCGTCTTCCCTTAAACACAAAAAACAGTCCAACCTATCAAAAACAGTATCCAACACCACTTTTAATCATGAAATAAAATCCCGAATATTAACTATTCGTTTTAGCAGTTTGATTCAAAATATTTTTGCCCTTCTTGGACTCCTACATCCCTGAACCAGGCATCACAAATTTTACAATTTTTGTCGCTGTGAACAAAATATGGTCGATTTTTGAAAAAAGCAACCTCCACCATTTTAAAGCATGAAATCATGTATCAGGACTGTCATAAAGGCGTAGAGAAGCTGTGGTCCTCCAGGGGTAATATAACATCTGGCAGTGTCAATCAGCATTGTAAGAAATGCTGAGAGCTTCAAGTTCTAGATCAGGAGGACTCCAAATTGCCCAAATCTCTTTAAGAAAAATAAAAGGTGTTGCCACTAAGAAGCAAGATCGGAGTGATTAAGACAGGATAGCAAAATATTACTTATGGGTTAAATTGAAAGTTCTATTTGTGTAATATATGCAAAAAAAATTGTTTCGTGTTTTGTAAATCAGTGTTCTACATACTTGGCAACTTTTAAGATATGTGGACTTCAATTCCCAGAATTCCCTGGCCACCAGTATAAATAGAAATTTGGTTCACATATGACAGGTGAGATGTAACTGGTTTCCAGTTCACCAAACTGAAAATTCATCCATGTCCAATTTTAACACAAGTGATGTTGAGTGTAGGGCAGGGGTAGGCAACCTTGGCTCTTTTATGACTCGTGGACTTCAACTCCCAGAATTCCTGAGCCAGCTCCATGAGTCATAAAAGAGCCAAGGTTGCCTACCCCTGGTGTAAGGGAATATATTCCACGTATTCTGGAGTTCTGTGCATAGGTACTATCAATATGCCATGTTTTCTACTTTCCCCAACTTGTCTCACTGCAAAACCATGTGTGGATTTGCCTTCCCACATCACCTGGAACTGACTCTCCAGTCATTAACAAGCAGGAGTCGGCTGTTTTAGTTGATCTTGGAAGTGATGCAGAGATCATCAACCTACCAAAGGGGCATGTAGGTGGAGAAGATTGCTGTTTTAGTCACGTTATCAGTCATAAAAATGCATTCTTTGCTGAGGGAATAGCTTGCTTAATCCCCCTTGTGAATTTTTTTTGAGATATGCATTACCTCTTGGGAGGTTTCTAGGGCCTGCAAAACTAAGTGGGTTGGACAGCACTCCATAGATTTTCATTTCTCATTTCTGTATTTGTGCCTTATTTCTTGTGTCCTCAATCAGTCCGCTTAATGGTATTTGAGGTAACTGCAGCAGAAGTTAGTTTCCCCCCCCCCCGTAGCAATTAGATTTGAAGGCCCAATCGCTTTGCTGAGATATAAAATATTTTCATAGGCCAAAGGAATATTTACCTTTTATTGAGTAGCTCTCAATACTGAGATGAGCAGTATATAAATTTAATAAAATATAGTACTGCCCTAGGAAACCCATAGATTTAAAATATGAAAAGTTTTTGTCAGTTTGTGGCTCAAACTTAGATACTATATTTTAAAAATAATTAAAACAAGTTTATATGGAGAATATTTTTAATTGTTAGAAATCATCTAATCTAGGCCAGTGGTGGCGAACCTATGGCACGGGTGCCAGAGGTGGCACTCAGAGCCCTCTCTGTGGGCACACGTGCCGTTGCCCCAGCCTTGCCTCCCCCCCCGCGACCCCCTCTCCAGCAGCCCCCCTGAAGGAGAGTTGCCCTCGAGCGTGGCCTACATGGAGCAGCGCAGCCAAGGACATGGCAGCCAGGCAGCGTAGACAAGACTCTGCCCTCACACCCCATCATGCAGTTGTTGCTGCAGGGCGCGGGCAGAGGGTGTGGCTGCCATAGCGCTGCTGGGCTGCCTGGGCGATGTGCGGCGGGCCCTGGAGGCGGTGAGTGGTCCTGTGGGAAGGCGAGGCAGGGGATGGGGGGGCACAGTGGGGGTGGGGCCAGTTTTGGGGCATTCGGTCTCTAAAAGGTTCGCCATCACTGATGTAGGCTGTGCCTATTATCACATATGGCAATATCTAGCTAAATTACAGTGATCCAAATAACTTAGCAATGTTAGGATAGGACTTCAATGGGAGACCACTAGGTAATCTCAGAACTATAAGCTGGACTGGGAAATTAAAAAAATATCCCACAAGGAAGCAACAAGGAAACTGCATGTACAGGGTAATTGGAAGACAAGCTTGACCTGGAAAGCGTGTCTTTTTAATGTAATAATCTATTTTGAAGTTAGGAAGGTAAAGTAGAATTCTCATTTATGGTTTGTTTAGGAATTGCTACAAATATATATACCATGATCACCAAAAGATAATTTATTACATTTTTAATTACATTATGGTACACATAACAGATGATCAATAAAGACACATTCATAAATTATTACTAGTATAAATGTATTTCATAATTGTGCGTTAGGTATTCAATAACAGTACGTTGTATTTTCATAACTGGGAGTTTCATTCACATAGCTTATGAATCAAGAAAAAAACAAAACGCTTCTAAGAAAAAAAATCCGTAAGTTTCTTACATGGTGTTAGCTACATTCAAATCCTTTTCATAACCATTAATCACATAGCATAGCTGTTTTCAGCATGGAATAATACTTAAACCCATTTTTGCAAAGTGAAAACAATATTATGCATATTAATGATTATATTCTTAGAGATTTTATCAATAACTATAACCCAGGCAACCCATGTTTGTAGGAGCTGAAAATTCAGCATGCCAAACTCTGTCCAGACTAAGCTGATTTTTCTTCTTGTACTCAAACATCTTATAAGCAGCAGCATGTCAAATCTGCCATGCAAAGCATTTTACACCTTACCAAAGCAGTTTGTTCCAGCTGTTGAACTGTTTTCAAATGGATTTGTTCCCCAGTGTTTCACTTAAGTGCAAGTATCTGAAAAGCAGAGCTGTAGCAACTGATAAAGTTACTGGAGTAGTAATCTTGTGCTGTAACATGTGACATATATCATTCATATAACATTTTCCTCCTCCTCCCATCCTAAGGCTAGTGTGAATGTCTGACCATGTAAGATAATTGCTATCTTACCATGAGAGAGTTTTGGAAACATTTACTTGATTGGGAAAAAACCCTAATAAGTAAAAAGAACACTAAACTTTGTAAAAGTGTAACTTCTTGAATCATAAAATTATGCAGATGAGTCTTAAATTTCATCCAAGATTATTACATGAATACACAATATATTTGTAAAATTACTCTCTAAGTTGTCAGCACAATTCAAGCTTTTTCTCAAGCAAAATGACTTCTTATTCAGTTTTTAACAAAGTTAAAGTCGAATCATAAATTGCCATTAGTTAACAAAATTGTGGTGCTCAATAATTTAATTTTGCTGCATGATAATAAAATTATTTACTCCACTAGAGAAAATGTATTCTCTATGAATTAGTAAATACAATGCAGAATTTACTGTCAGTTGCTTTCATGATCTTTTCTTCTTCTTCCCCAAACAGAATTCTCTGTTACTACTGTTTGCTACATTCATACTATAAGATTGTTGAAAACACTGTTGGCTTTTCTGGTTAAAAAAAAAAAAAAGGTTTACCTGCTTAAAAGGGATTAATCACTTCAAGTTATATAATCTCACAAGCCTATCAGAATTCAAATTAATTTTTCAAAGATTTATAAAACATTTAAACAGGGAACACTGAACATTTTTGCTATGCGATTGCCTTTTGCTTTAAAGTATAATGAACAATATTTAGATACTATAATACACAGAGAAGTATAAGTCTTTCTATTCAAAATATATTAAGTGGAAATCTGAGTCTATGGAACTTTTTTCAGAAACTTTTTTTAATTTTGTGAAGAATTAACACGACTGCTAAGAGTGGATTCCTACAAAATAGAATTTGCTGTAAACCAAATTATGAATTCTTATGCAATACTGTAGACTTTTTGCAAACAAACCACCTTTCATTCTATCCCACTTTAAGTTTTAGTAAGGGGGGGGAGGGAACTGAACACACAGATTATATTTTCAAAATGCAGCAGTTTTATTTTGTGTCAAGCCCACTATCTTACAAAGTCTATATACTTGAAAAACACACGAAAACTGGCTGCTTTTACATTGCTAAAAGTCATGGAATTAGTCCTGGCCATTTAAATATTGAAGCTTTCTCCACAGCCGCAGGTTCCTTTGATGTTTGGGTTATTGAAAACAAATTCACTGGACAGTTTGTCTTCTATGTAGTCCATTTCAGTTCCTAAAAGTGTAAGTTGGGCTTTTTTTTCAATAAACACTCTGACACCTTTTTAAAGAGAAAAAAAGAGATTTTGAAAGATTTAGCATACAACAGGCTTTTTTTTTTTACTACACAAAATATTGCTACAATGTAGTTCATATATTTCACTACAGGCCAACAAATATTCAATAGGTTATAGATATTCCTTAAATACTACTTGCTTTGCACTTATTCAGTGATGTACTCTGCAAGCTATACTGATAATTTTTTTTTGGTATTTTTCCAAATGTGTATGAGGCTAAACATTCAAAAGTAGGCAGACTTAGTCATAAAAATAAACAAGTAAATTACTGGACCTTTAGTCAGTCATTGATTTCATGGTAAAAGCACCATGTTCGCTTAAAGGAGAGAATCAACCTCTGTCAATATTCTACAGAAAGGCGGGATATAAATAAAAATTATTCTTATTGATCTGGTTATTCAGCATGTTGGATTTAAAAGCCAAAGGGATGTTCTTTGGTGAGAGCATGAGGTCACAAATCTAGCACCTGTTGGCAGCAACACCTGAAGCTAAATGTGTCTTTTCCCTGGACAGCTGCAGAAGGCACACCTGGGAACAAAGGCATGGCTGACTAAAGAGCTGCTCTGCCCATCCCTATGTGCTCTGAAGCACCTTTTGGCCTTTGAATCTGAAGTGCTACACACATTCAATTCTGTCGATTCTATTTTACACACTGCAAATAGATTTAGTCAGAAGTTAGAATTTGCAATGACTTTTGCAGTCTTACTATCCCGAGTACACTTACCATCTTGTACTACTTCTTCGTCAGAATCCCCTTTTGATTTTGTATATTCTAGTGTATAGGACAGGCCATTACAACCTCTTGTGCGCACACCGACTTTCACTCCTACCTGAAATATAAATATTAAATTATTAGAAACATTTTTTGCATGAAGCCAACAATTCTCAAGTGCCAGAATTACTGTCCCAACGCTTTTATCGTAATTTGAATAGTATAAAGTTTTAGGGCAAATCAGCCATACACACAGATTCTGAGTCCTTTCAATCTAAGTCAGGGGTCCTCAACCTTGGCAACTTTAAGACTTGTGGACTTCAACTCCCAGAATTCCTCAGCCAGCTTTGCTGGCTGAGGAATTCTGGGAGTTGAAGTTCACAAGTCTTAAAGTTGCCAAGGTTGAGGACCCCTGATCTAAGTGTCATTTATTTTTGAGTAGGGTTGTGCAAAACTCTACTGTAAGTCTCATAGAAAACAATTGCCCAAATGGGACATGACTAGAATATGTTCACCTAAATTAAGTCAATTTTGGCCACCTTTTAGGATATTAGGATCAGTGACCTAATGAATCAGGACTATTTTGATTTGTACACAGAATGAAATTGGGATTTTTTTTATTCACATAAAAGGGATTTGGGGAGCGAGAGAGGAGGAAGCAAACCTGCTAGGAAGATGGAGCAGGCAGATTTGGTTGAATAAATATGTGAGAGACGTGAGCAACTAGGAGAAGCAACTGGGAAAGATATGGGAAGGTTGAGGTGGGCTGACTAGTGGGACCAGCCAGCAGCAGTGAATGAGAGAAGAGGGCTGGTAAGGTGGGTTGAACCCACGTCAGGCTAGAAGTGCTGAGGAGAAAGAGGGTGTTTCCATAGTTGCTTGCCAAGATGTTTTGTTTGAGTAATGCAAAATCAGAGTGCCATAATAGGAGTGTTCTGAGGATTGGTTTTGCAGAACTTTTGCAAGTTCAAAATGATCTGGCCCAACGTCTAGATTGCAATGGTTTGTTCTGGATTTGAAACAAAACGTTTTCCTGTTTCAATCACGTTCCCATCAACTATAATATACTGGTGACTGGCTACAGCAATACCCATTAGCAGATTGTGATGCACTCCTGAACATCAAATAATGCCTGGAATACCATCTAGCACTACTTACGTGGTCAGGTTTGTCTTTTAGCAATTGTTTTATCTTATTCACTGCAGATGGAGTCTGAAAGGTATTAAGAAATTTGTGTTACATGACTCATCAATTGCACCTTTTTAAAGCAAATTTATTAAGTTACCAAAAAGATAAAATACAAATTAAAAAAAAGGAAAAAAAAGATTAAAAGAAAGACAGAGGGGATCAAAGGGGTGGGAAGCGACAAGAAAACAAAAGGGGGGGGAGAAATATATATATAATGACTTCTAACTTTCTTCAGATGTAATAAAATAACCTCTTACTCTAAAACAAAAATGTTATAGACAATATACAAATATTGGATTGTATGTTCTATTTTGTCCTTTTTATTCATAGAAAACTACAAGTAGTGAGAGAATAATTACACTTGAATGTTTAGGGAAGAATAGAATCAAGAGTTTCTTTTAACGTCAATTGTTTTGTTGAACTAAAAATGATACTAACATTTCTCAGCTGCTATCTATTCATCTTTATGCGGCACAGTAATCTAAAATAATCTCTTGGCAGAATCTGAATTCAGCCCTGTTTTTCAGCTTCTCATTATCTTTGGCATGGGTTTTTTAGAGATACACCTATTATTCCAACCTGTGAGAGGAATAATAATTAGGCTTCCCAACATTCCAGTAACATCTCTTTTGAATTACACTTATTTATATATAGTTGCATGTGTAGTTTGTCATTAATGTAATGCGGTGGAGGTGGGGAGACGGGTCTACGGGAAGAGTCCCATTTTGCAATCAAACATTGATTTGACACATGGAAAAACCTCTTACAAGGTTTATAACTCAGAAATAACTGTAAGTCCATCTAACAGCTATTTGGACATGCTAATATTACGTTTTTTTGTTCATTATAATTTTATACATGAAACCCGACTGGGTGACTTTGGGCCACTCATACTTTCTTAGCGCAACCCACCTCATAGGGCTGTTGTGGGGAAAACAGGAGGAGGAAGGCTCAAAACCTGGAGTTATCTTTAAAAATAATGAAGACTCGTTAAAAAATAAAATAAAAAATAAAATTATATTCCTTTTAATCATTTAAAAATATAAAGGAAGTGCTCTTGGATGGTCAATATTTATAATATTTTAAGAAAATATTGCCTAAGATTATGTATGGCTATCATATTTAAATAACATTTAATGATTTCCAGATGAGATTGATTGATCTGAGAAGCTAAGCAGGCTTGGCCTGGTTAGTACAGTACCAGGGAGGGAGATCTCCAGCAGTTTAGAAGGCTTGGGATAGATTGGGAAATTGGAAAACTACTCCAGAAGAAAGCAGGAGCAAACCACTTTGGTCACATTGTTCAAGAAAACTATGTAGACATGATCCCAAAGTTCTCAGGGTTAGTTTTGCTTATGAAAATATAAATCATACTATTTCAGATCTCAATACATTCAGAATATTTAACCATTTCTCCATTGAGATAAAACTGAACACCACAGAGCTGGTTTTATGCACAGAAGACTGAAAGCTTTACTGTGCTTGGCCCCCAATACCTAGGAATACGTTCATTTCTAGCTAAACAGCTTGTTCTCATATACAAGTAGTCCTCAACTTACGACCACAATTGAGCCCATATTTTTCATCGCTACGCAGGACAGTTAAATGAGTTGCACCCCATTTTATGATCTTTTTGCCACAGTTAAATGAATCACTGCAGTTGTTAAGTGAATCTGACTTCCTCTATTGGCTTTGATTCAGAAGCCAACCTGGAAGTTTACAAATGGTGATCACATGACCCCGGGAAAGCGCAACTGTCATAAATACATGCCAGTTGCCAAGTGCCTGAATTTTAATCCTGTGACTATGGGGATGTTGCAACAGTCCTACGTACGTGTGTAAACCGATCACGTCACTTTTTCCAGTGGTCTTGTAACCTTCAAAGTCACTAAATAAATTGTTTACTGTAAGTCGAGGACTACTTGTACTACCCAATGCTTGGAGGAGTAGTTGATGCCCATCATTACACACAATAAAGCTGTGTGGCAATAAAATATAATAATCTGTTCCATAATTTATATTGAAGACCAGAACAGGAAAATTACACAGAGGCATTTGTGTTTTCACCCTGATATAAATTCCTTTCATGTATTTCTCTATAATTTTTTTTTTAAAAGGAGGTGGGCAACTACAGAAAACACAGTGGCATAAAAGTTATTTTCCAGCTCTATAATCTTCAATATTGGGGAATCTCAGTTGAGATACAATAAACTGACAAGCCTTGGTTTACAGCAGAAAAAAAAGTATCACTACAAAAGCTTCCAGTGCTACATTTCTCCCTCTCATAACCTCTGGTAACAAAATAATGAAAAGCTGTGAAGCTCATCTCCCACCAGCTGCACGATGGCAACAGTTCACCAGAAGCAATACTGTACAGGTAATCCTGCAATTCACTTAGTGACTGTTCGAAGTTACAACGGCACTGATAAAAGTGACTTACGACCGTTTTTCACACTTACGACTGTGGCTGCATCCCTGTGGTCAGGTGATCCCCCTTTCGCAACCTCCTGACAAGCAAAGTCAATGGAGAAGCCAGATTCACTTAACAACCATGTTACCAATTTAACAACTGCAGCAATTCGCTTAACAAACGCGGCAAGAATAGTCGTAAAATGGGGCAAAGCGCGCTTAACAGATTCTCATTATCTTTGGCATGGTTTTGTTTTTTTTTTAGAGATTTTAACAGATTTCTCACTGAGCAACATAAATTTGGGGCTCAACTGTGGTGGTAAGCTGAGGACTACCCGTACTGCGTCTGGAAACACTTTTTACCTAGCGCAGTGTTTCTCAACCTTGACAATTTTAAGGCATGTGGACTTCAACTCCCAGAATTCCACAGCCAGCAATGCTGGCTGTGGAATTCTGGGAGTTGAAGTCCACATGCCTTAAAATTGTCAAGGTTGAGAAACACTGACCTAGCGAATGTTTCTGCCCGTGGTGGAAAGCAGATGAGGCATATATAGAAGAACGGAAAAAAGGGGGGGGGAGGCAGATGGAACAAAAAAGGGGGGGGCTTCCGGAAAAGCGGCTGCACCAATCCCCGCCAGACCATCACTGGGGACCCTCCGCCCGCTCCAACGGCACGCCTGCGCAGCACGCTTGTTTACCAACCGGTAGCCCTCCCCCCCCCGCCCAGAGCCTCAAGCCCGCTCTGCAGCGAGCGACAGATTCGGCTGCCCGGTGCAACTCCCCCGAAGACTGACCAGCGTGAGGGCTGCTCGGGTGGCCTGGATCTTCCGCTTGCTCACAGCCCGGACCGTGGCTCGGACCATGGAGGAGGCCATGACCCCCGCCCACCTCAGCCGCGTCCTCCAATGTAGTCCATGCACCCAGCGGTCGAAGCCACGCAAAGCCAGGCGCGTTGGTGGCGTCAGCGAGGGAGGGAGGGAGGCGGTTGTTGTTCGAGAGCTTTCGCCGCTATTGGGTGTATCGCGCGCCACTCGGTATTCTGGGTGGGCGGGTCAGTTCCTGAAGAGGTTGGGTCTCTCCGCCCTTTTCTGCAAGGCCACCCAATCGCAAGAGTCGAGCCAACCGTCCGCGGACGGTCCTCTTTTGTCGTGGGTGGGTTCGGGAGAAGGCTGGGAAACTGAGGGGGCTCCCGGTGGAATGTCAGATGTACGTAGAGCGAACCTTTTTATGTTAAACCATCGCAGTGTTTCTCAACCTTGACCATTTTAAGGCATGTGGACTTCAACTCCCAGAATTCCACAGCCAGCATTGCTGGCTGTGGCATTCTGGGAGTTGAAGTCCACATGCCTTAAAATGGTCAAGGTTGAGAAACACTGTGTTAAGGGAATGTGATAGCTAAAAAAAAAAAAACACCGAAAAGAGAGCAACCTGTTTCTCGCCCGTTTTAATGGAGTTCTTCCTATTTCTTTCCAACTGAACTTCGTCGGATATATGGCTATAATCCTGCTCGCTTGGGACTCCCCTGGGAACACATTTCTTTCTAATCGGCAGACGAGGTTAGGCAATCAATCCCCAGCGGAATGAGCTCCGGAAATGTCGGGATTATGATTCCCACGCTCGCAGAAACAAGCGAGGCTCCTGGTCATAATCTGGGAACCCTGGGAACCGCATTCACGAAGAATTTGCTCAGCAGTTTAAGAAAGGCGTCGCAACTGTAAAAAGTTAAATGTGAAAAGTTAAAAACGGCTTGGACTCGAATTGCATTTATTCAGTTTAATCTTGTAATGGCCTCATTTCCCAGCTGTAAGTAGAATCCAGAAGTGCCACCCGAAGGTGGGTTTTAAGAATCCCATTTTCCCCACTGAGAAACATAATACGGAGAACTTACATGCAAGGCAGACAGCTCTTTCCCCCCTGCTCTAGGATATATTTTTTCCTCTGCTCCTTTTTTCTTGGCATTCCAAACAATCCCATCCGATGAAAAAGGATCTGATTGCTCGCGGTCTCAAGCACTTCCCATCCTGGAGGACCACAGGTCAAGCGTACCTCTCTGTATTTCTCCTGAGCTTGAAGCAACCACTTTAGATTTATCACCCCTTTCGTTAACATATACAACATTTATACATTTATCTATATAAATAAAAATGTAAATGTTCGTTTGTTCAAAATCTTAAATCTCCGAAAGTCCTTCACCGATTGCTTTGAAATTTTGACACAACGTTGCATTCGAATACGCGCGTGTTTTTATATACCTACTATTATATAGATGTCACACCTGTGACAGGTAAAAACATGCTTTTTTGGAAAAACAGCGTCACCTGTTGGACATAAACATATTACAAACGTGCGCTTTCTCTTTTCTTTCTTTTCCATTTAACCAGACTGAGCCACAGCAACCCGTGGCCGGGTACAGCTAGTATTTAATAAATAACTTCTCAAAATTTCCCCTATTTTTGTTACATTGATCTTATTGCTGCTTCTGACAATCCTGAGAGGAATAATTCCTACTTACCAAACCCTGTATAACTTTCTAAGAGGCCATGAAGGGGTCTGTATTCCAAAGGGACAATTGAGTCACGGTTTACAACTGAACCACCAAAGTCCTACTGAGAGGCACAGATTGGAAGGCCAACTGCTTGTGCTGGAAGGGTCATTTCTAATTCCAGGAGAGGGGATGATCCAAGATTTCAGGAAACGTGCATCAAATAGGGAGTGACTGGCTGACTCCTGCCCGCAATCTTCACATTACTAGCTGGCTTGTAACCACAGTTAAATGGTTAGGAAAGTCTCCTCCTTGTAACTTGGAAAGACGTACTAGGTTGGAAGGCAGAACCCAGGTTTCCTATAAAAGCTCACATCTGCATCACTATAATGGAAACATTTTAATTCAAGATAGTTTCCAGCATATAATTGCATTCTGTATTTTCAGGCATATTGGTTTATTTCAAACACTGCTTCATTGTCCCTGATCTTCTTCCAAAAACTAGCTTTAAGTTTTCTCGTGTTTCACAGCCTTTCTGGATGTTGTCTTTAACCAACTGGAGTATTATGTTGTCTTATTTGGGAAAGAGAACATGCACTTCCATCCATATTTTATGTTAGAGCTTTAGACATGATAAACAAATATTTCTTTCTCTTCAGTTCAGTCGACTGTAAACTGAAGTAAACCCTGAATATTTGAGGTGTTTTTTAATTTGCAGCGTTGCGTTTGGTGATGGAATAACTGACTGTGCAATGCTAGTGTTTTTAAAGTGTTTCTTCTACCTGTAGACTTCTTTGTAGTGTCTCTTCATGGACCTGGGATAAGTTACTTTTAAGACGATAGGCAAAACAGCACGTATTTTCCAGCCTCTTGTTTTTGATCATGCAATCATTATGATCAGGTCCCTGATGATACTGTTTATTTGCTAGTGTTTCAATAAATAGTTGTAGATATCCTAGGGTGTCTTTATCTCCCCCGGTAAGCGAAATCCAATTTTGCCTTTGGCTAATTTGGTATTTTCTTTTAGTAAAAGTCCTTGAGAAAATGGCATTTTATTAAAATCATTATTTCACCCAAGTGATCATTTGAAAATGAATAAAAATAATTGATGTTTCTATCCTCCTTGCTTTTATGTGCATTTTAATCTTCAACATGCATCTGATACTTATTTCAAATTCTGATGTGTCAAATTAATTTATCTATGCAAAGTGTACTTACATGGATTTTTTTAAAAGAACAGAAGCTACTTTTGAGAGTTCTTATTAGAACAGAGGATTTCAACAAAGCTGTATGCCAACTTTAATGTTATTTTATTCTGTATATTTAAAAATGTGTATCATTTTTTTTAATCACTTGTTAGATATCTTGAGTAAACTTCTGAATGAAAAATGGATGAAAAGTTTGTATGCACATATAAAATTCTGAACAGTAGTTAGATAACCCAATCGTGCAACACAAAAAAGGTAGAAATTTAAAGTTTTCTTTTGACTGTTTTATTTCCAAGGTCATAAATAACAGTGTCTTATGTTTTTGCTGTATATTTTCTCCTGGAAAGGCTGTACTGCATCATCTGAAAAAAATTCTGACATAAAACTTTGATGAGGATGAGGATGATATAAAAGTAAATCCTTGCCCAGCACACTCATGTTTAGTTTTCAATAAAGCAGAAATGTGTTCCTTTGTTTTAACTCCCTTTTGTTTCCTTAGAGGAATTTTTTCAAGTTGTGGACAATGGGAAATAATCATAGCAGCAGCAAACATAACTAATTTGCTTCTCACTCTCTCTGTACAGAAAGGACAGCAGCATAGCAATCATAATAAAATAGAAGGGAAAAATTCACTCATTGGCACTGCTTTCCACAAAGATTTTTACATAAAAATTTACTTAATGTCCATGTTTTAGTTGTCCGCAGTTTAAAATATTTGCAAATATGGCAGTAGCAGTCCAGAAATATTCCAAACACTTTTACACAAGGAATCAATGTTCAACATTAATAAATACCCTTTTTACTCTTCAAAAATAATATTTTGAAGGTGACATTATATTTGGCTTGCACATCATTTAAGTGCACTCAGACATTCACACTGAATGTAGAAAGTCTTAGAAGTGATTTGGGTGAAGGATTTCCCTGATCTACATGTTTTACCTAGTAAATACAAACATGATTTTCTATTAAAATGCTCAAACCTATTTAGAGCAAGGATTCATGGTATGAACAAACATTAAAATTCATTGCCTTTGTAACTTTAGCAATTTAATTAAAATAAAAGGTGTTTTCTCTAGATTTATGTCAAAGACAGTTTCTGCTGCTGTTTTGTGAACCCAACGCCTATAAAAGAAACTTTTCTGAAGGAAATTGATGGTCTGTATTGCAACTGAAAGATTGCTTCAGTTTCTCAAGAATCTTGTTGGGGTCTCTTCTGTGAAGCTTTTCCCTGAGTCATGTATTTACTGGAAAGGCTGCCTATATAGGGAGACAAAAAGCTCAAAATGAAGACATCAAGAATAAAGTTATAAACAGCATTTTAAAAAACTTTCCCCCAAGGGTAAGTCAGTTCTTCATAACTCAGGAGAAATGGAACATCGGTAAAGCTGAAGTAAATACCCTTCTTCAAATCACTGTCCAATTTCTACGCTATTCGCAGTAGCTCTTTTGTAATCTCAAACTTCGTGTTTCTCGCAGAAGAACATTGCTTCCACTTTAAGATACAGTCCTTTTTGTCTGTGCAAGATCTTTGGCACAATCTGAATATACATTTATTTAATTAGCGTGAGGGTTAATTCTGTAATGAATTCATTTTGTTAAAAATAGCCAATTAAAAATTGCCCTTTAAAATCATGTTTAAAACCAGCCAACCAAACTCACTCATCCACCCGTTCAAACTTGATTATATGCACTGGTGTCTCTGCTGTAGTTGTACAAGGTAGGGCATCCAATTTCTCTTCTATACATTTCAGTGCAATACAGCACCCTTATGTATTCCTAAATATCTTTTTTGGGCATGGAACATTCAACCCAAAGGTACAGGACATTTCGTATTCATGAAACTTGTGTGCCTTATTGTAGGACATAGAAAGGTGTGTTTTTTTGTAATAAAAAATGCAAATCTAATAACCAAGTCTGAAAAAAACTTTCCTAAAGGCGAACAAAACGGGGGCATGTCAGATATCGGGGTGGGCAGAAGGGAAGGACTTCATTCCAGAGAACAGGAGTAACAATAAAAAAGACATGTTTTCTAACAAGATTTAAATGAAGGAACCTGGAGCATGTCCCCCTTGTCAGAATCTGTGGGGCAGGTAGATGTACTTGGGAGAAATCAATCATTCAGATAACTATGCCATATAGGGCTTTAAAGGTAATAATCAGCACACTGATTATCAGCATACTGGACAGTAGTGCAACTTGCAAAGTTAACAGTGGCACGTGAACCTTACAAGAAGCAACCACAATTACCT